AGTTGGAACTAATGTGGTGGTCAGCCAAGAAGCTAGACAAAATTAGTGCATTAATTTTGCTCAGTTGTTAGATTTCAAATAAATAAATATCCCAGTAATGGAAGGAACAGATGCATGAAAACTTTCATACAACCTCAGCTCAGACATGAAAGGAGGAGGAGGGGGGGAGGCATTTGTTTTTTCTAGAATAACCATTCCATGTGCAGAAGCCCTGCTTCCCAGGAAAATAGCCAAACACCGCTTGCTAATGGGAAGTAGAGAATAAACCTTGTTATTTTCCTCTTCACTTGTGCACATGCAAACTTTCTCTTTCGCTTCAGTAAACTGCCTTATCCCAATCTACAAGTCATTTTACATCTTATTCTCTCCCCCCTGTCAGGCTGGGAAGGGAAGTGATGGAGTGGCTTGGTGGACACCTGGCGTCCAGCCAAGGTCAACCCACCACAGCAGGTTTTCCATGTAGATCATTTCTTTGTCTTGCAATTTATGTTACTAATATTGTTATGTTACTCTTCGTTTTCATATCTCTCTGCTGTCAGTTGTTCTTATCTCAGCTTGTGACTTTCACGTTTTGTGCCTCCAGTTCTTAACTCCATCCTGCCAGAGCGGGAAGAGGGAGGGGAAAGGAGGAGCAAGTGGCAAGGTGGTTTGGAGTCTCTATGGGAGAACTGAATTCCTAAACCATGACACACACACACACAGATATATATATATATAAATTAAGGCATAAATACAAAGAGATATGACTTGTATATATTCTAGTGATGGCTACCTAATACAGTATGTGTCTTAACATATTTATTAGGCAAGTGAATCTGCATTACTCTGATACTCATGTGAACATACCACATAAAAGCAAAATGTAAGTTCCTTGCTATGGTACACTTATCAATACCCAGTGAACTGTCCCTCAAGCCTCCTTCATTCTGGCTTTGGACTATTGGTTTTGTCCTACTAATCGATGCTAAGAACTTAGTTTCTTATATGGATAAGAAGTCTGAGGTGGCCTCAGTGCCATCAGGATACACAGTATCATTGGTACATTCAGTGCCATACATTGGACACCTCAGTTCATTACAGCAAATACTGGTGCATAAAAAAACCTCAAAACTGCCTGCTTGTCTGATCTGAAGTGCACTGCTGATGACATCACATTCATCCTACAGTCATGCCTGGAGGAAAAAGAAGTCCTCAAAAAACTCTGTCTTGAGTGATCAGGTTAAACCTTGGAGAGTTGACTTGCAGTCTTTTAAAACAAAAGTCCACACTGCTACCTGGCACATTCTAAGATCTAACTGACAATATTTGATAGGGCTGCCTTTGCCTCCGCTTTTGGCTTCAGTGTGAACCAGTTCAGTGCTTAAACGAGACATATTTCTTGATCACTTTCTCCTTCAGCAAAGCTGTGGTGCATCCACCCAGCACATAAATTATATTTGCATTGCAGATTTTGGAAAGCTCAGAGAGCTAAACAGAGTCAAAATAAGTGAAGTAGTTGAGATGTGGCCCTACAGTTAAAGAGTTGCAAAGAATCCTTGCTGTCAAGTGTGACCAGCCGTAGGTGATCTGGTACATGTAGAGATACTCAATAGTGTAATGATATTGCTTTAGTACTGCTGTGTTATTGTAACTTTGGCAGTAAGTTTCCATTGATATTTAGCACAGATTGTGATGGGATGTATAGGTAAAAGTGTTTTTTCCATGATAATAGAATCATTTTTTGGTTTTATATTGTTTTCTTTTGTCTTGGTGGAAATTGTCACGCAGAGTACAAGGGAAATGTACACGCTCCTGCAACATCATTGTTATTGAGCAAGCTCATATCAGGCTTCAATAAGAGCCTGATTTTTCTTATGAAAATGACAGAAAAATTTTGTGGATTTTTCAAATCACTTAATTTGAGTTTGACCTTTTACTAGGTTTTGCTATAATTCCCTTATAGTAGATTGCAGTTAGAATAGACAGTAATAGTTTTATAGGGTTTTAAGCTGTTTTTCCAAAATAGTTGAAAACCAATAAATTTATAAGCAGTTAGAATGACCCTACAAACACCTATATACCATGAAATGTGCTGTGCATAATTTGTTGATTTTGTTTAAGGAATTTCAATGGAACCATTTCAGCTTGGGGCTTTAGAGTAAGTAGGAAGGGACAGATCCCTCTGCCTTCTTGTTTTTGCAAATTTCAGACAGATCTAGTTTTACCATGGTGCTTTTGCTAGCAAAAGGTGTTGCTCCTACATTTTTTTTTCTTTATGCACATCCTAGGGTGATGGTATTAGGAAAGAATGAGACTGATGATTGAGTTAATTCCCTAGTGTACAGAGAGTCCTGTTCTGCAGGATGTGTTTTCTGTAATGAAATGCCACAATTTGTGGTTTCTTCCCACGGAGGATGACCACACAGCCTGTCAGATATTGGCCCTGCTAAAGTCATTTTTACTTGATCAATGATAAGAAGAGCTGAACCACAAGGATGAGAGAGCTTTTAGTGAATCAAGTAAAAGCGTGTGGCAACTTGCACCACGTAGCTGTGTCATTCTCTGCCATCTGCCACTGCGAAAACTCTTGAGCACCAAACAGGATTACAAGAAAGCAAGGAGAAAATATCCAACCTGTCCCAAGGCTGTGTTGTGTTACTGTGTAGCTGTTGTTTCTATTTACTGCAAGAGCTGCTTCTCAGCATAAAGTAATGAGTTAGGTAGTAAAAGTAATTTCTGTCGGCATTAAGGCAAGTGATGTGAAAAGTACAGCTCAGGATTTCAGTACACAGAACTGTTAAAGAGGGGTGTTAATTTTCTGGGAAACTAAGCAATACGTCCTGAAGCATTCACCATTTGCTTTTCCCTTGGAAAAATATAATTTACTCTAATTTAATTGCTTGCTCAAATATCCTTTGTTAACCAAATGAAATGTGTTTTCATTCATCTTTTGAAAAAGAGGAAAGATTCCAAAGCTTCTGGGTAGAAGAATAGCTGGCTACAGGGATACAGATTCCATTTTCAGTTTACCAGATTCATGCAGAGGTTAGAAATTGAAATACATACGTCTTTCTATTTGATGTTTGCTGGTTTTCAGCAGGACCTGTCCCTGCTGCTGCCCTGTGCAGGGGAGGGGAACTGTTTCTCCCAGCCCTTCTGAGTATATGCACACACCTAGAGCAGATCCTCATTCAGTTGTGCTCTTCTTTCTAGTGAAGAGGTGTAAGCCCAGCTCTGTTGCTATCAAAAGTAGTGCTCATTTACTATTCAAACAATCAGTTCTTTCATCTCCTGAGCAAAAACGTTGACTCAATAGGAATGCTGGATTCTGCCTGTGGCTATGCTGGAAAACAAGATTCTGTTTTCTCTCTTTCTTTTCTTCTCTTTCCCGCTTTTTAAAAAAACTTTTAAAGTAGAGTAAAGTCACTTTGTCAAATGCACAGTAAGGACTGATTAGTCAATGTTTGTTCAGAGCTTTGGATGTCTTAAGCCTTATTTGGGATGAGTGCTGAATATCAGTCATCTTCATGCATTGGCTTGATTATAACCAGCATCTTGAGGGAGGAGTTTCTTTTTTACCATTTAAATCAGGTGCAATTTAGGATTTTATTCTCAATGTTTGTGTATATTTTTATATACATTTATCATGTATTTGCATATTAAGTTACAGATTTTCAAGTATGTATGTTTTCAAAAAATTGAAGCATTTTATATGAAAAAAATACACTTATACACTTATATTTCTGTTTTATTTTTGACAAATATTAGCTGGTCAAGGTATTTCATAGGTATTTGAATATTTCGAATTACTATTTGGACATCCTCAGGTCAAACAGGGAACTACTTTTATCTGTAGAAATGCGAGTATCCTTGCAGTAGTAGTGTTACCAGTTGCATGCCTGAATGATTTTACTCAGTATATTGTATTATCTTCTATTAGTAAAATACGACAGCCAGAGTAAAAAATTAATTTAAAGTGGGTTTTGAGAAGAAAACTTAACTCAAATTCTTGTGGGAATTGTCTAGATTCAGATGCAGAATTTTACTTAAGGTTAATGCTAACATTTGGAATTCAGCAAGAGAATTCTTTTTGTTCTTTTTTGTTCTTTTATGTATCGTCAAGGGTTTTTTTGAGGCGAAGAGAGACTGAGGATGTGTAATTCTAAATATGATGTTTCATTATTTTATCATGTTTGTGGTTTTTAGGACTAGAATTATGCTATTTGAACAAATGTTCCTTGATTTCTTAATGCAACTTAATGGAATCTGTATGTTGTTATCTAGTTCTAATACAGATTTTTCCACCTATTTCCAGATTTTTTCACCTATTTCCATGCAAAAAATAAGATGAACTCGTGTAATTGAATGTTCTTCACAGGACTTATCTAAAATGATATATTGATAGCTCTGTGTTCAACTGTTAAGATAAATATTTGATTACATCTGTATTACTTTAGAAAATTTCATTTGTTGGAGGACTTGGTAGTCTGTTGGTAGACAAAAGAGAAAATATTTTTTATACAGCAAAATATGCTCCATTTTAGAATCTGAGGGATTGAACTTTGGTGCTGAAACAAAATACAGATGAAGCCTCTCTATTTGGGAGAACAAGAATGTGAACCTAAGTAAAGAAATCTGTGTTTCCATTTTTTTTCCTGATAAAGCAATCAACGTATGGACATTTGTGAAAGAGTTTAACTTACTATGTTTTGTCCATTTACTGACACTGTGGGGTTCAAAATTTATATCATCTTACCTTTAAAGATATTACAGCATCAGCTGGAAAGACCTTAAATCAATGCAGTTACACCCTTCTCTTGCGATGTGTCTGTAAAACACATGCATGTTCATATGCAAGCTCATGTAATATAAAAACCAAAGCTAACAGCAAGCAACTAGATTTTTATTTTTCCTAGTTTGAGTATGTTTGGAAAATTTATTTTGTTATTTCATATTTCTGTTTGCAGATCAGATAGAATTACTGACACAATTTGTAAATTTATTCTTCTATTTTTATTTAGTTTGACAAAGGATATGCTTACAGCATTCGCCACAGCTATGGGAAAGAAGGAAAGAGAACTGACTATACCCCATACAGCTGCATGAAGATTATCATGTCCAATCCACCAAGTCAAGGGGATTATCATGGTGAGTTCCTTAAGGAAAAATCCCAAATGTTTACAAACAGCAGAATCCCTTGGCTGTTAAAGAGAAGTTACTCTGTCCTGTAGTCTCTTAAATGAAGTATTTAATTTCCAGACCCTAGTGGTTTTGAACTGTTCTCTTTAGATCAGACTTGACTCTTTTTATATATGTTGTGTCATGCAGTTCTAGGAGACTTTAAATATACAGGTGCTTTAAGAAATGACCAATTAGAGGTGTTCTGAGATCTGAATTCAATTGTACAGGAATTCTGAAGTTTGGTAGGGTACTTTAAAGCCTCCTGTCTCTGTGTGACTAAACATGGAAAACCTGCACTGGCTTCGCTGTTGTTATGCTAGTACTAAGTCATTCATTCACTCTGTCTCAAAACTAATTCTGGAACAAAAAAATTCCACTGTTATTTAGGAGGTGGAACTTTCTAAGGTGTTTATAAAGAGGTATTTTTAAAATGGGCTGTGCTTTAAATTATTTGTCTTTTCCTGTGGGTTTTTTTTTTTGCTATTAGATATACCAATGCTATCATTGTTAGTAAGGAACGAACTTAAACTCTTTTCCTGTCAGTGAATGAGAATTGTGGCCTGTTTATGGTAGGATATTTTATGTAACTCTTTAGCCTGTGGTACCCTGATAACTGTGCAGTAGAATAATTATTTAAAGAAAAGAAAAAAAAATAAGCAGTTGTACACATGGGTAATTAACTTTCCTATTAATAAGCTGTTAGGCAATTAGGAACAGCTTAGCTGGTCTCTTGAGTGCCTTACTGCACTAACTCCTGAGTAAACAGCCTTGTTTGTGAGCTTGCTTGCTTTTTACTGTCAGGGTGCCCATTCCGCCACAGTGATCCTGAGCTACTGAAGCAAAAGCTGCAGTCATACAAGATCCCTCCCAGTGGAATAACTCAGGTAAGGCGTATTTTGCTTGACACTTTAATTATTAAGGCACTGGTTTTCAATTTTACTTCCTATTTGTGTAGGAATGCTATATGCAATTTGTCAGTGTGTATTGTGAAATATTTCTTCTTGTGAAAGGTTTAAACCAGAATCTTGGCTTTCTGGCTGCAGTGCTCCCGCTGACATGATGATTATCGTCACCAGCTTTTATTGTTTAATATTATGAGTTGATTTATTACTATGGTGGATACAATGCAGAATTTTGTTCTACTGCACTGTGATTAAAAAAGAAGTTTAAATGAATATGGCAGTTTTAAAGAATTTATTTTTATTCTTGCAGTGACTTGTGGATGACTACTGTGTAGTCAGTAGACATACGTAATTGGTTTTTATAATAAACTTCTAAAACCCATACATTCTTAATCATCCATTGTGCTAACTTCCCTTAAATAACAAAAGCACATGAAATGCCTAGTGAAATTATGCAGAGATTTTTATCAGTTTTTAAACATGTAACATTGAATTAAAAACCTATCTTGCATAGCAAGATCAGTGTAGGAATTGGAACTTTGAGGTTTGTACTGAAGAACTGACTCTAGCAAGAGCTGAAGGCAATGAAAGGTTGCCATCATTTTCACTAGAGGAAGACATACAGGTTAGATTTAAGCTGAGACAGTTCACCGAACAGTTGTGTATATTAACTGCCTAAAACTGGCTTTAGATCCATAGGAAAAACCTGCTTTAAGTGGTTGTTTTGAGTTCATGTGGAATGTCACCATTGCTTGTCAGTCATCCAAAGACTGTTGAACTGGATAGAAAAGAATGTGAAAGTTCCACTTCAAACAGTCTCCCTTGGAAGGAATAATTAAGATACAAATAAAAAGAATAGTTTTAAAGAGTTTAGTGTTCACTCATATTCATTCTTGACAAATTCTTGAAGTACTCAGACTTTTTCCTAGTTATGCTTTTTTTGTTGTGGGGTTTTTTTTTTCCCCCTATTTTCTCCTGGTTCGTATGAATAAGTCTCCGTATATCTGACACGAGATATACTTTCCTTTGGCTTTTTTCCTTTTTATATGCATCAAAAATTGATGCTGGTCTGAGATTTTTATCCTGCTAATCATTGGAAGGATTGGTGAGGATTTACTGGTTTAGCAGCCTTCTGTATGTGTGGGTAGGATTTAGTAGAGGTTATTTCTTCAGTGAATTTGCACAGTAAGGCAGTATCTTTATACTTAACATAGTTCCTTATTTGATGTGAATTGTGTTTTTATTTTTGTGTGTCTGTATATTTTTCCTTTGTGAAGTACAATTGGAATTCACTAGGAGTCCTAAGTTGTCTTATGAAAAGTGACTGAGAAAAACTGTCTCCATCATCTATTTCCTTTGCCCGGAAATAGACACTGTCCTGTCCATGAATTTTGTGGTGTCAGTCTAAGTGCAGTCACAGTACGAGGCTCTTCAGTGTCCACTCCTAGTGTTAAAAAAAAACAAATCCAAAACAATACATCCTCCACCCAAACCCAAATAATAATAAAATAAAAGATAAATAAATTAAAAAGTTGACCGTGCCTGGGTTTTCAGAAATTAATCTTTTACATCAGTCTTTGAGGTATTCAGTAAGAGAAGAGGAAGAAAATTAGTTCACATCTGCCTACAAGTTTTCATTACTGCTGCCACTCCTTGTTGCTCTGTTTGCATGGTCCAATAATGTTTGCATAACTAATAACAACTGAGGATCCTTCAGTCCAGACAGTGGCTTTTAAGAGTCTTTTCCGATGCTGATGATAGTTAATGATTATCAGAAAGGTTATTTTTCCTTAAGCTCAGTGAATGGATATTAGGGATGGTTTACCACTCTTTCAGAGCCTCTGATGTTGCTTTTCCAGTATCTGGGTCTTTAGGATGACATTCACCCAAACCGTGCATACCTTTTTACTCTCTTAGACCTCCTGTTAACTCCAGATCTAATGAGAGCTCCCTTACAACCTGGTAGATTCCTATTTTTAAGGAATGGTTCAGAGCTTGGCCTTTCAGCTATGTATTTTAATAAATGGTATGTCTTTCTGGGACTCAGGGGCTCTTACACTTGTTCCTTGCTCTTTAACAAAATTCTGTGAATAATGCATAATTTTTCAGACATTTATTTTGGATTTAGTTATGTAGTTATGAATTGATTCCCCACTGGGATTTTCATCTTCTGTTTTAGAGTACTCACATGTCTTCCCTTGAAGCCCATGAACAAGTCCCTTTCTCCTCTTGGCTTTTCTCCTGGCTATTACGTGAGCCAGAGTGTAGGCTAGTGTCTAGCCCTTATGGCTGTGATTTTACCCAAGGTGGTTAGTTTTGTAGTGGTGGTGTTCTTGGTCATCTGTTTCAAGAGCTGTCCATATTCTTGGGATACACTCTTTCCTTTAAGGTTCATTAAGAATTCCTGAGTTATTCCCATACAGATAAAGCATTTGGCTAGTGTGGGGTGGAAACAAATCCCATCCTCAAAGGGCTTTTCACACAGAATTAGGTGTGAAAAAAGAACATTGGACCTTGGGATGATGGTGCAGAGCAAATACAGCCTGACCTCACATGACTTCAGCAATCAGTCAGAGCATTAGACTGCTTTCATTGCATCTATTTTGTAGCACTGTCAGTACTGAAAAAAGTGATCAAAACATTTGAATATGTGAATGTGCTTGCAGTGAATTATCTAGATCCAATCTGCTGTTCCAGTCCAGTCCATATTTTCTGAGGCTTTATCTTGTTTAAGATTTTATCTGCTAACGTCATCTTCTGGAAATAATATAGGAGATGACTTCCAGGTCTTCTCTAGTTATTATGTAGCCTAAAGCAGAAAGAATTAATCCTGATGTTTATTCCAAGAACTGAATTATTCAATTTGTATTAATTTCACATTTTCCTTAGGCTAGGCTATTTCTTTATTTGTGACTGTAGCCTTTTCTGTTTCTTTTAAAAATGCTTCATGGAGAAAGAATACAGTTAGCTGAGCATCAAATGTGTGAAAGTATAGCATTTGAATTTATAGTATATTTTGGTCAGATTTCTGTCTTTCGTATAGTGCTAATTAGGTAAAATCTTTATGAAATCAGGCTTGGCAATAGCTAATCAATTTGGAGACTATAAAGATGAAAATATATGTTAAGCTATTATGCCTTTACGTATGGGACTTTGAACAATTGCATGCAGGGCACGATGGCTTCAAACTGAAAGGGAGTTGGTTGAGATTAGATATTAGGAAGAAATTCTTTCCTGTGAGGATGGTGAGGCACTGGATCAGGTCACCCAGAGAAGTTGTAGATGACCCATCCCTGTCAGTGTTCAAGGCCAGGTTGGACAGGGCTTTGAGCAGCCTGGTGTAGTGAGAGGTGTCCCTGCCCATGGTGCAGGCTTTGGAACTAGATGGTCTTTAAGGTCCTTCCCAACCCAAACTGTTCCATGGTTCTATGATAAATACATTGTTGTGTTACTGTACTAAATTCACTGTAGTATGTTGCCTGCACATCTCACATAGGAAGATGGAAATTATAGGCTCTGAACTAGAGTTATTTCAAAATATTGTTATTGGTTTCAGAAAGTTTTCTTGGAGAAATTACCTATTTCCCAAATTGCATCTTTCACAATAGCAAAAGCCAAAGGTAGTCAAAATATGTGGTTCTACAATCAGGAGAAACAGAGGTTCTAGACTAATTTTTTTTTGCTTTTCTTAGGAGGAAAAGCATTTTTTGAGGGGAAAAATGCTTATTTAAATGAACAGTAGATAACTTTAGAAGATGGCATGGTTTTTTCTAGTAAAAGTGTTGTCCAATTTAAAAAGGTTTTTTTTTCCATAATTGAGTGAAATTAGAAGTTTTGATTAAGTTGTTGAACTTTGTCTAATATTCTCCAACAGATTAGTGTTTTGTGGGACTGGAGAATCTTCACAGAGATAGAAATAAACAAACCAGTCTGTGCCTAGGCCTCTGATATGGCTGTATGTTTCCATGAATGAAAAAAAAAACCACATCAAAACACCTAACAAACTCCTTACAAACCAGCAAAAACCCCACCCCTAAACCCACCACATTGGAAAAAACCTCACACTCTTCCTTCTGATGGTCTAATATTAAAAAAGTTTAATCAGTGCTGTCTGTAAAAATATTTTCTCTTGCAGCTGAAGAATTTTGCCTTAGCGCCAGTCATCTTCATGGTAGGGCTTTTGAAACTTCTGATTAATTAGAAGCAAGTACTGTTTAAGTAAGATATCTTTTATTAAGTTAGTATTTATTGGGAAATATATAAAACAGAAACAAAAATACAAGAACAATTGATATTCATAATATAGACACATTTTCTGGGATACCCATTTTATTATTACAGTGAAATTTGGTACATCAGAGTTCCTTAAAATTTTCAGTGATTTCTCATCATGTTTAATTGTCTCATAGTTGGTGTATTTTTCAAGTATGAGTATGCTTATTGATTTCACTAGGATTACTTTTGCCTATAAGATGAGTGAACACAATTGCACATTTAACCAGCCAAATCTAACCCTTTTTTTCTGATGTTAGAGCTCCCATCTGACTTCTTTTTGTGTGTTTGTTGGTGCTGGGGCATTACTGTTACTGACACTATCAGTGGTTACAATATTGTAGAGTGTTAACATGACGTAGCTTAATATCTGTATATGACAAAACATCTTAATATAATGTGGCTAAAACTAATTATTTTAAAAATTTGATTTACAGTATTTCCAATGACTAAATTTTCCCAATCTTCAATTTATTGTTGATAAGTGGAAACAAGTATTAGAAATGAGAAGTTATATCTTGCTATTTCCAGGTGAGATTATAATGTTAAAAAAGCTGTATGCAATTATATTAGAGTGGACTATTCAAAAATCTGATTTAAGTACTGGTAAGAAAAAAAGGAAATGTTGACTAGTGACTGGTGAACGGGCTTGTGACAGTAAAACAAAAAAACAGCATAGGAAAAGAAAACATGAGAGAATACAAAAAATGCAGTAACACAGTGAGAAGCACAGATGTTTGATAATCACGCAGTCACAGAAGGGTGGAAGGGGCCACAGCGGCTCATCGGGTCCAACCTTCCTGCTCAAGCGGGGGCATCCTAAAGCACATGGCACAGGATTGTGTCCAGGTGGTTCTTGAATATCTCTGGTGAGGGAGACTCCACAACCTCTCTGGGAAGTCTGTGGTGTGGTTAGTGTGTGGTCAACTGCACAGTAAAGAAGTTCTTTCTTGTCCTCAGGTGGAACTTCCTGTGCATCAGGTTCTATCTGTTGCCTCTAGTCCTTGGTACTACCAAAAAGAGCCTTGGCACCCTCCCTTCAGACACTTATATTCATTGTTAAGGTTCCTAATAATAAGAAACTATAAGAGTACAGAAGACTTCTAGAGTATGTGCACAGATTTATTATACATAGAATGCAATTGAAAGTACAGAAGGTACATGGTTGAACTAGAAAATGAATTTTTTAAAGTTTGGATTTGATATTCTAACCACCAAAAGGATGTAATAAAAATGTAGTCAGGTGCTATTGTGACTGTTTATTATTGAATCACAGTATGGTTGAGGTTGGAAGGTGTGTCTGGAGGTTATCTGAGAAAATTGTGCTATATGTGCATACATTATAAACATGAAACCTTCAAAATCCATTTAAAACATACAGGAAATACTTGAAATCAGTAGAAAGGACAGATGACTGTACTGACCAGGAGGCAAAAGGCACTGGGGAGTCCTGGGGCTAGGTTTAGTTTTGAGGTGGTCACAGAGTGGCCTGAAAGAGAAGAGTGGAATGTGTTCAGATAATCTCCAGCAGTTGCACCCAATCATATCTCCAGTCACCTTTGAAATAAAAAGAATGATAGAATCTTCAGGTTGGAGAAGACCTTTAAGATTGAGTTCATCACCCAACTCTGTCAAGTCCACTACTAAACCACGTCCCCAAGAAGTGCCACATCTACAAATCTTTTAAATACCTCCAGAGAAGGTTAGAAATGAGTCATACATAACTGAATCTATAGTAGAAAGATTTTCATGTTAAAAATATAAGTTAATTCTGCAATTTTAAAAAAAAACGAACCCAAACTTACTTTGAGTAAGTGAAAAGAATAATGGATAATTACAGAGCCCCAACTATCCTCCTATGAAACATCTTAGCTTTGAGTGCTGAGGATCTATAAAAGCAGGTGGCTGCATACAGCTGCCAAACATCATCTCAACCTCATTAGTAGTCAGTAGAGCAACATCAGAAAAGCAAGTTGCAGATGGCTGTGAAGGAAAAGGCACATAAGGACTAACAGAGTCCTTGAGTATGTACCTTCACTTGCAAAATAAAGCAATGCAGTGTAAATATCTTAATATATGTAGAGGCAAAAGATTGCCGCTGTGAATTGAGTTTTGAGTGGAGGTCTGTTACTGGGTAATACTAGTGAAAAACAGCTCTAAGCTTGCTTTCATTATGTACACAAATGTTTGAAAGATAATACTTATTGTGAATGATAATTCTGTTTTAGAGAATTGATAGTTTCTCTCACACAGATGACTGCTTTCCATCTGGGCTCCATTCTATTCCAGTTTTTAACCTTTTTTGTTTTCTTTGTTAGCAACTTAATCTCTGTTTAAAGCAAGTTAATCTACTAACCCTGTTCTTCTTGAATATGTTTGATGTGCCCCTAATTCCTCAGTCCTTTCATATACACAGAAGGTGAACCTGGTCCCCCTGATGTGGCTTTTTTAATCTTACATATGTACTAAACATCAGGCTTATCATTTGTGCCTTGTGGCTGTCTCAGAACGAGCATGAGCTAAATCATAACTGCTTTTTTATTTTTGTTCTGAATAGAGCCACAAACATTGGTCTGACTTTTCTACCCAACCACAATTTTAATCAGCATTTAGCTTCGTCATCTCTACTTGTCAAATTTGGCTGAAATTGGCCAACCGTTTCAAGCTGGGGAGGTGATGTGGTGGAGAGGGTAAAGGAACAGGAGTAAAATGATGACCAATGCAATCATGTATATTGATAAATTTAACAAACTGGATGAAAGTCTCTGGACTCTTCTGATTCTATGGAGCACTGTATCAATGTGCTATGTCAGTGATTCCTCTTCTGATATCTGTCACTTGGAATTACCATTTTTCCACTGAGCTGTCAAGAGAAGACAGCAGCAGATTGATCTGAGCTCTTGTGAATTAATAGTAATTAAAACAATAAAATAATAAGAATAATTAAAAGCTAGCTTTGGTAATCCTTGCCTTTTCTACTTCTCAGGGTAGTTGAACAGTGGCATCACTGATACAAAAACCAGGTATAACTGTGGTCTGCAATGCAGAAGTTAAACAAATTGTAGAACGTCTCCTAGCGTTTAACTGATAAGCTTGTTCAAAGTGTTCACTTAAGTTATAGGAGAACCTTGGTGCTTTTTGTCTTTTGGGGTTTATAGCAAGAATTTGTCCATACCTAAGTTTATGTCTGCTTACTTAAGGTTACTGAGACTTCAAATGTATTTACACCTACATTTAGAAAACTTCGTATTTATATAATTTTATTAGGTGTAGTCTTGGCTAAACAAAGAAAAATTTTGAGAAAACCAGAAGTGTTTATAAACTAGATTAGATTAGTTGAATTATTTCAAATGGAAAATTCAGGTTAGAACAGTCTGAATACTACAGAACATCATGAATATTTCTTTCAACTAACCAGCAGACAAACAGGTCTTCTGATAATTACTCTAAGTTGTATGAAAAATACCTTTTAAGAAAGTACATACACACAACATGGTTAGCATTTTCTTTAAAATAGAGATAGCTCTTCAGCATAGCATAGCATATTGTAAGGAACAAACAGGAAAACATAAGGCAATATAAAATTGAATAGTTGAATTTAGAATAGATGAGTTTTCTCCAATTTTTAACTACTGATTTTTTCAGTCAATTTCAAGGAGAGAGAGGATTAAAAAAAGAAATAAATTTATGTACCCAGATAATGCCAGATTTCAGACTTCATCGCCTAGTTGGCCTTGGCCTTGCTCTTTTACAGAAGGTTTAACAGGAGGTGGTAAGAGGGAGAGAAATATAATCACTTGGGCTATTACATAGAAATAATGTGGCTAAGTACTTTCCTGGCACTGTGGTGCTGTTTTTATCCATTCAGCAAATGTAATTTATTTATACATCTGTCAATAAATACAGGGCAGCATCCGATAATGAGTACAGCGGGGATTTAAGCTGTGTATTGCTGTGTTTGACACAAAGGTCAGCCTTGGGAAAGGGCCTGAAATTAACATTTCTTGAAAGCTATTTTTCCTTCCACTGAGGCTATCTCTTAATTCCAGCAATTTTCTCTGTTTGATAAGCAGAGAGAGCATACATTTTGATTATATAAAGGAGGGAGGAGGTGATGAAACTTTAAAATATTTCAACCAGCATTGCATTCTGGTGATAAGAATGGGACTTTATGCAGCACAGAAGAGATTACCTGAAGTAGAATTGGAAAGCAAATTGTATTTACAAAAGATGGCATGATTTTCCTAATAGGTGTTCAAAACAGCCTATTCACTCACACATTCTGCTGAGCTTGACTAGAAATAACTTCATTTCAAAAAGGGCAAATCTGATTGAAGGTAAAAGCTTTCCTCTCTCACAGATACTTGTCTAAAGGATTTGCATTAAATTTTCTTGATGGGAGCATAGTATTTTACCGCGCATCTGCATGAACTGGTAATGTGGAAAATAAAAATACAAATTGTGTCCTTGATTGCTTCATGCTTCAAGCACTTAAATTACTAGATTTATGTCTGCAGTTTTGAAAGAGATGTTTCAATATGATACTTTGAGAATAACTGTCACAATTATATTACTTAAATATAGATTCAACTTACTGTTGAAGTTAAGAGTATTGAAATTACATTTTAAGGGCCAGGCATACCTTCCTGTGGTTTTATCTTGTTTCTAGTGTAGCCAGGGCATTTTTGAATGTTGTCAGTTATTAGCAGAATACGCAGATGTCATGTGCTGCAAGTGTCCGTGAGCTGTTGTACAAGGCTGTTGTGGAATACCTTGTTGTGGAAGATAAACAAGATGTAGGTGTGCCACTTCTGAATCTGTCACGTTTTTCTCCCTCTGTGTAGATCCTGGAGTTGGTGAAGGGCATGCATTACCAGCTGGCCTGTCAGAAGTACTTTGAGTTGACACATGAGGTAAGTAGCTACTAATTTTTGTTTCAACTATTATCACCGATTTTGTCTTGAGGAAGACCTTGGAAATCACCCTTGAAGTCCAGAGACTATTTTCAGTTTGCACATCCACCATTAGCTGTCTTGCCTTGTTAGTTTTCAATAATTTCAAATATTCATTTGTAATTTCCTGCATTTATTTTTTGATGTTATTAATACCCTCAATATTACAAGGACTCCCTGAAACAATCCCTCATCCTTGGCCATATTGATCACCACCATTGGTCTGCCCTGGCCTCCAATCGGGAGGCCTGGAGACACACCATCTATAACGCTGCTGCTGCTTTTGAGAACACACGCAGGATCACTCTCGAGGAGAAAAGACAACGCAGAAAGAATCGCGTCTCATCGATATCACCTGGGGAGTCTTTCTGCTGTGCCTTCTGCAACCGGACTTGTCTATCTCGCATTGGCCTTTTTAGCCATCAGTGCGCTTGTAGCAAGCATGGGTAGAGCCCTTTCAAATCTTCGTTCACGAAGAAGCCATGAAAAATTACAAGATGTAGTAAAATGTTATGCTTTTTTCCTGGAAAGGTCAATATTGTTGAATTTTATCAATTTCAAGTCATTTAACTTTCTAAATATCCTGCTTTTAATCAAATTTATGGGTTTTTTAATGCACTTTACAAATTTGATGTTGTTTCAATACACCTTAAAAAATTAACGGAAAATATTTTTAAGGTAAATTTAAGGTAATCTCCCAGTGTGCTCATAGTTAATATTGTTAATTTTTATTTGGTATTTTTTCACATTTATAGTCATGTATGATTATTTTTTAAATCAAGATGAACATTCTCAGAGCTTTCGTATTTGCGTAATTGTAAGCAAAGTTAAAGTAAGATCCTCCAGAAAATTGTAAGATAGCAAATGGCTGTACTCTGTCTCCTGTGTGATTTCTTGATTCAAAGAACCAGCTTTTGCACTGGTTCAAGACTCCTTTCATCAAGAAAAAGCAATGAAGCACAGCCCTTCTTAAAGCTTTGCTGTCTCCACAACTCAAGAAATAGAAACATCCCTTTCAAACAGCAGACTATGGAACAGCCTTGCTAAAGATATGGATGAGGATTAGATGACCCTCCCAGAGACACTTACAGTTGACCTTTTGGTTCTTCCTGGTTTTGACATTTGATTTAAATCGAACTGTTTCTCTTCACAAATTTCCAGCAATCATATATATAAGTGTATAGCAAAGGTATACTCTGAACCTCTATCCAGTATTGTTTTGGCAGCTGTAATTTGAGAGGAACACTTTCTCTTAGTCTTAGGAAATGCGACAACAAGTCTAATAATCTGGAGATAAATTCAAAATTATGTACAATTTGAAATTTAGATAACACTTGCCCCGTGTAAGACCAAGTCAGTAGAAATAATATTTTCCAAAGATGACTACAAACCCCAAGGTCAACATTCAAAGAAGAATAAATCAGCACAGTGCATTTTAGGAAAACTGTCTTTACATTCTTCTGTGGCAAATTCCAGAATAGCATTATTTTTATAAGTCTTGTGGTAATATAAATATCTGTCTTTGCTGCTTGCACGAAGAATCATCTTTCTGCTTTGCTGTTAATAAATCTTTTATTTCAATGAAAGAAAGCAGAATACAGAGAAAGACACTTTCTGTAGTTTGAATGGCACATGCTTATGACAGCAATTTTTTAGAAGAGAATTTAGCTGCTCAACTTGTTACCAGCCTGCTTGGAGTGATTTTTCTGTCCTACAGCTGTATGCTTTATTAATTTTTAATTTTTTGGGGGTAGTTAAAAATGTGTCTCTGACCTTTGCTTTCCTGTATATCACTAGCAGAGGTTTTCAGTGAAGGAAGCTTCAGAAGAATCAATTAGCCTAACATTGTTTCTTTAAGGAGGGGAACAATCTTAAGTAAAATTTTCATAAAAATAATGGACTGGCTCATGTGGGGAATTTTTACTTCAATTATGTAAAAATTTTACCAAGAAAGTGTTTATGTTGTGTAGAGCTGTTAGTGTTACCTATAATTCTTGAAAGTTATGGTGTGTATGTGGGTTAGATTGAATATTAATGACTTTGTAATGGAGACTTGATAAGATTATATTTTTCTAAGTTCACAGGGTCAGCTTCAGTAGTCTAGTCCTTGGCATTGAGACTATGCTAATAAATGCAGCTGGACTAGAGTGAGAATGTTTGGGTATATTTTTTGGGAGGCTGGTGATGAGAGTTGTCTTTACACTTCAGTGCTACTGGTTCAAATAGCACCGGTTACAAAAAGCTGATTTTCTTTGTATTCTGTGTAACCTAGGCTTATTAACTTCAATGTTACACCTCTCCTGATCTTTGTTTTCACTATTTTGCAACCACAGAACAAAAGCAGCCATCATTTGTGTGGTCCAGTGCATTTTCTTCAGGCAGAAGCTATTGTATGAGTATGCCATTTGTTGACTATTTTAATAAGTGTGAGAAAGGAAAGTTGTAGCACCATAAGTGCTCTATGTGGTTTTTCTGTAATATCACCTGTAGCATTATCACCTCTTTTAAAGTTTTTGGTTAAAAGCCAGAGATGCTTGTAAGTTTTTCAAAACAATATTTGCTACAGGAGGAATAAAAACTAAAATTTGTACAAAAGCCAGTGTGTACAAAATGTGCTGAATCCATGCTAGTATCGCCCACTAGATGGATTATACAGTTCTGTATGAAGTGATACATCCTTTTGCTTAGGTCAATATATGTTATGAGCTTAAATTTTTAACTGCACAGAAAATACATTTTTCTTTGGGTATAATGGATTCCAGGTAGCTTTACAGGTGTGAATGGACAAAGCTGTTAGAGAAATCTACTTTCTCTATTTCTGATAGTAAGTTTCAGCTAACATGCAACTAAGTTAATGACAAGGCTTTTAAAATTGATGTACTTTGATCTACATTACCTAAAAATATTGTAAAACTTAGATAAAGTAAAAACATGAGGAATCTAACATAAAAAGCCTCCATTTTTGTGTTCAGAGTTCTTGTAAATTTCCAACCAGAGCAGAATATTTTTATTTAGAGAAATGCTCACTGAACCTTGTTGCAAATTACACAGAACAGAATTGTTTCTGTATCACTATATCACAAATGAAGATGATGATATGAAAAAATCTTCTTCTTTCTCTCTTCAGGCTCTCAAAAAATGTGATAGTTTGCACAGAATTCTTTTAATTAAGAGTTATGTAAGCTTCAATAAGTAGTTTTGATTTAGTAATATTCAAGTTCGAAAAGGAGAAATGGTACATGGACTCATACAGCAATATTAACTAAGAACCTGTAAATAGCTTTTAGCCAAATACCATCAATCACCTCTGAAAACAGGATTGTAGGCTCCCATTCATACAATGAACTGCTTCTGCAGCTTATTCCAATTTTGGGGGGAGAGAGGAGTTTAGAACAAAATTAAGAGTTACAAAGTGACTCTTAAATTGGTCTGAAGAAAACTGAGATTTTAAGGATAAAAACCCTAGAGCTAATTAAGAGCTTCTTCTAGGAAAGCCAGTTTTTCACTATATCACTTCTTTTTAAGCTTTTTTGGTATAAAGAAGTAATTTAGTTTCCTTGTAATGAAAACTGGAGCATGGATGAAAGCTGTCTGGATGAAACTCATCCAGATAAGACTGAAATGAAAAATGAAATTCAGTGATGGCTTTGGGTTTTATTTTTTTTCTTTATGCCTTAGAGTACGAAATTGGAGTGCTAGGGCTGTTAACTGACTTTTAAGATTTTTCAGGCAAGGTCACTGACTACAGTTGCTAATTCATGTCTGAATTAGATTTTGTTATCCACACCACCATTTTCTAATGGAGCTAAGCTAGGCAGTGGTAATGCATTTAATCAGGGTTCCATTTAGAGTACACACTGATCCTCTGCTTTATGATTATTCACAAGTGGCTGAAATTTAAATTGATGGGGTTTGGCATATTAAATTAGCCACACTGTATGTCCTCAGGAGACTCTGTGTGTGCAGAGTTGCTTGTTATGCTTGAATTGGCCCCACCCTGCTGCAAAGAAGGGAACATAGTGGGAGCAGAAATGTACTGGTACATGACTCTTAGTCTTCCATTGTTTCTTGTATTCCAGGTTTGGTAAACTTTCCAATGCATTTTTAAGAGCAGTATTTTTCTTAAAATGTTCTTAGAATTCACATGAACTGACAGGCAGATGAAAGGTGCAGATTACCTGAATAGGAAATGGAAGCACCTTTTATTTAAAGTAGGCATTTCCAATTTACAAGCCCCCCAAAAGAGGCACAAAGATTATACTGTGGTTTGTGGTGAATACGGCAGAAGAGCTTACTTTCAAAGCTGAAAGCTTTGTTGATTTGAAATTGAATGTTCATTTATCAAATAGTTGCAGAGCTGAAAGCTTGCACCTGCTAAGTAGATACGAGCAATACAAATACGCTGCACCTTACGATAATTTTCTGATTTCTTTCCCACTGAAGACTAAATGTTCATTGTTGTGCTTCTAGTTTTGGGATGCTAATGTTGTCACTGATGGATCAGAGCTAGGCTTGATCTGTTGAGTTTCTGTCTTAGCTTGCTGCCTTGTAAATATTGCCTTTGTGGCTACTGGGGAAAATGGAAGCAGGTGAAGCTGCCTGTTTCCATTCACAGTTTCACACTGATACTTGACATCTAGATTTATATTCTGCAGTTGTCACAACTACTAGTAGTATTCTCTCCTGCCACTTGCACTCTAGACTTGTCTGACTCCCCTTTTTGTATTGGGAAATTTTGTTTTAAGGTGTTGGTTCAATTGTCCTACATCTCTGAAGAGATGCCATTTTACTTGCTCATGTTGTTTTAGGTGTTTTGGGATTTACTTTTCTTTACGACAGCAATGACAGTGTGAAATAATGTTTGAATATGCCAAAGAAATTATTTTATTTCACGAAGGAAGAAAGGAAAAAACGTGCTATGGAATTAAATCTATGTCACATTTACTGAGACAGTATTTACAGATTGATGTCTTTTTCTTCAACAAAATTGGAACTTTAAAAGTTTTTAATTAATTTGCTCTTGAGTATGAATAAGATGACTCTTAGAAGTAAATATAATAACTTGATGTTTCTTTCTTTTTATGTGCAGGTTGATGACATTGGATTTTCGTTGAATCATCCTAATCAGTATTTTACAGAGAGTCAAAGGCTGTTAAGTGGTGGTAGAGAACCGAAGAAGGAATTAAGTAATTCAGGAAACTCTCAACAAAAAAATAATAGTCAGGAAAGCATGAATTCGAATTCGACTCCAGCCTCTTCAAATACAACAGCTGATACAGAACTGGAGGGACTGGAGGCCTACTTCACTGAAGACTAAGGAGCTGTGTTACTTGGGTGTTATTTCTGTTATTTTTTTCTTTTTTTATCCTTCTCTTCTCTAGCTGGATTTGTCTCTCTATTAAGGGATATGCACTTCACTACCTGGAATACACAGACATTTTTTGAATAGACTGAAAAAAGAAAGATAGATATTGAAGCTGTAATTGCATCCACTACCTATTCTTGCTTCTTTGTGAGGCTGTTTTCTATGGCATGTTTATGGTTGGGAAATGCAAGTTCCTTCCCAATTATTAGGTGATTTTTGTCTGATTTACCTTTTTTTTTTGTTTGTTTTCTTCAAAATGTTCAAATATTTTTATCCCATTTTGTGGCCAGTTTTCTATGTATCTTCTTAATAAATAATTTGCAAAGCAAAAGGTTTTTGTATTTTCTTTTTAGCTGTATTTGGATGGTAATTAAGTAGGGGTTCTTATGATCAAAATTACCCTCTGGAGGAGTTAGTCTGTCTCTTCTATATGAGCAGCTGAGAAAAATCAGCTTCCTCATTTGTACCTTGACAAGAGATTTAGAGAGCTGGGTTTGGTGCTTGAAATAGAGCATAAGCAGAGTTTAGACACCTGTATGTAAGAAAATAATCGAAAAAGGTGATACTCTACCATCTGTCTCATCATGAAGAATCTAAAACCTTATTAGTATATACTCTCTTTAAAGTTTCCTCAATGTCTGAGTGTGGCTGGAGCCTCTTGTGTCTTGCTAAGCTAAACAGCTGTCTGAATGCAGCCTTGAGTCACCTAAATTCCACCCATTGTCACCTAACACACAAACTGCTTTCAGTCCAGCAGTGACCACTGTGCAGTGGATGGAAGCTCTAAGCAGAGCTGGTATTTTCTATCATGCTATTAGAGTACTCTCCCAGGGATTTAAAAGATGTTAATTTTATTTTACCTGATGCCTAAGGAGTTTCAAGGCAATATTACACCCTCCCTGGAGAGTGACCCAGCTACTGGTATAGCCCTGTAACCACATAAACAGGGTGTTGTCATTGCTATTAATGTAACTTGTATTAATTCAGCAAGGCCTTACTATGAAGACTCACTGAGCTTTAGTTTTCTGAGCTTGCCTTGTCCCACCTGAAGCTTTGTTTCAGCTGTAACAGTATCTGTCAAATGACAGTCTAACTTTGTACAGTTGTGTGCTGTACTGCCTGTAGTTTAAAATGATTCTGATATATTTCTGTGGTTAATGGTTAGTTAGTAATAAGTAGTTATTTTGTATGGAATGAATTGATATATAATTTTAGATACCCATCCTTAAACAAATACAGCCTAAAGTGTTGTGCAAAATAAGTTTTTAGGGATAAGAGAAGAAAGAACAAATACACAGTGTGAGTAAACACACATTATGTGTAAATAATTATTTGGCTGTAATGTGCACTTCGCAGACAATGAAAAAGGAACAGCAAGTAGAATGTTTTCGGAAATGTGTTGTATTACACTAGGTGGGCTCTAAAGAGAAGAAGGAACAGTCCCCACCATCAGCATCCACCAGCTCCTGATGAACAGCGTGGGACCCTGGCTGTGTGCTGTTGGTCTCAGGACCTGAAGGGGCCATGGCAAGGTGTGTGCAACACTAGAGGAAGGGGTGACAGACAGAAGGGAGTGTATGAGTAACTAGTTGTATTATGTTAGAGGTTTTATTTATACTGTGCTAGAGGTTTTATTTTCTCTACAATAATTGGATGATTTAGACTGTTAAGACTGTGACTGGACTAAAGACTGATTACTGTTAAGATTTTGGACTAACTGTAAAACGTTGGTTTCTTATATAGAGTGGTTTTATGGGGTGTAATTTGCACAGGGGTAGTGCAATACCAGGCTTTAAAAATAAAACATATGGTATGTTGTTAGAAGAGGATCCATCAGGTTCACTGTTCCTTTTATCTTCCTTGAAGTATTCCTTAGTTTATTTACGGACTGCTTTGTGTAAACTGCTTAGTTTGGCAGAGTAACCTGTCCTTGCTGCCATGCTTGCCAGTTGCTGCCTTTCATGTTTTGTTGTCCCTTCTACTGTACAAAATGTTATTATCCTTCACTGATCTGTCTAAATCAGAAGCCTAGTTCCTAGTAAACTTCCTTTCCACTTGCAGTCTTGAAATACTCATGGTAATTGCATTATGTCAACATCAAACTTCTGTCTTTGGTATCTAGTTGGCAGAAAGAAAAATAAAGGCTTCCACCCTTTAACATGCTTATTTGCTGAGATTTGTTTAAACCCCTGAAATGCTGAAGGATCTGCACAGTTTGGATTGGACAAAGGTTCTGATCAGTGGGTGTTATTCAATCCCCCAAGAAACCTGAACTGTTTAGGTAGGTAAATTGATTGGAATACAGGTATAAAAATGGTTGGGATAATGTCTACAGTGAATTGTAGCTGCAAAATATATAGGAGTAGATACCTAAATAATAGCTCGTTAACAGAGGAAATACTGAAAGGCTTTAGAAGTGATTTAGGGTAGGTAAAAAGTAGATCAGTAGCTGGAGACTTAAAGGTGGTATCAGCATGTATCATTTGAGGGAGAGCAGGACTTGGTGATTAGATGCAAAAAGAAGGAAAATGTGTGACTTATCTTAAAAATTACAGCTACAATGAAAGGATCACAAGATGCTGTGTTTCTAGCTGAAACGAAAGTTTTCAACTAAGTCAAAGATGTTTTGGCACATAATCATAAACCTTAATTAAGAAGGTTCATGAACATGGGATAATGAAAAAGACATCAGTATAGCAGAAGCAAATGTGGCACAACCTTAATACTTATTTTTTTGGAAGAATATTACATTCTACTCAGGATCAGGGTTGTATCGTGGGAGGTGTTATGCAAACAGAAAGTCTCTACTGTGCTCAGTGGCAGGACTTACAAAGTGAACTGCAATAAAAATCAACTTAGAAGAAATGTCTTTGCTCAGACTGAACTAGTCAAATGGATGCATGAACTACTGGATGAAGTGTAATGGTCTGTGTTGCGCTGTTCAAAGTAGATTATCTGGCTGGCCCTTTTGGCCATTAAAGTCTATGACACATGGATTTATTTTTATGCTTAATAAGAATGTAATCTTCTGCGCTGTGAATGGTCCTTGGTTCAGACAGCTACTCTAGCGCTTTTGGGTCTCTAAGAGAGACTGAAGAGTTAGAAATGTGTGATTCAGGCAGTTGGTGTTCAGGTCTTTGACGTGTCAGTGGTTTGGCCAGCTACAATTTTCAGAGAAATGCTTGGCAGAAAAATAGCAGGAAACCTGCGGAATGACTGATTCTACTCTGGTCTTTGACATTGGAGCATAATTAAAAATACGTGAAGTTCTGAACATGCTGTAGGTAAAAAGCAGTAATAATTGCAATTGCTACGTGACTTTGAATGGAAGAAAAGGAGAATCCTTGTCAACTATGGCTTAGAAAGGAGGCAAGGGATTTCTTACATAGTCTCTCAGTTAAATCAGGAGGCACTGTTGAAGGTAATGGTTTTATCTACAGTGATCACATTTTTCTCCTTATGATGTCCTGAGGGGTGGTTGTAAAACTGCCTCCTTCAGGCTCTAGCATTACCAGAAATACAATTTTTTACAGTTGAGTGAACTTTTCACAGGATTTAAGTATTGGGCTATGGTCTTCTCATACTTTTATCATTATTGCACTATATAAAGAATAACAATTGCAAATATCTAAATCAATATACAAATCCGAAAGAAAAGTAAATCAAATTATTTAAATATATGTTTCAAATCAGTTGTAGAGTGTGTAATTTACAATAGTTGAATATGTTGGTAGTGCAGCTATAGTAATGTGGCGAGTGCAAGCATATGTGAAAGCAGTGCTGTACTCCTCTTCCAGTCTATTTCTCCTCGGTGTGTTTATTAGATGTGTATTTCTCCCCTCTTTACCATTCATTTAAAAATGGTATAATTTTGTTTTGTAAAAATTTCAAATGTTTTATGCATTGAAAAAATACATTGGAATGTCCTTTTTAAATTAATTACTGATTTTCATGGATTTTCTGTCTTTTGCCTCCATGTTTTGGCTTAAGCTGACTTTTATGAGCTATGTAAGACCTTACCTTGAAACCTCAGGATTTGGCAGTTTTGGATTAAAGAATGCCACTTCATTCATTTTCTCTTCATGCTTCACCTAGAAAAAAATCCCTACACAATGAAAATTTTTAAGACCTTCATAGGTCATATGAAGTTAACTCCTCCCTTTGCCCTTCTAAAGTTCCCATCAAATTAAATGATAAGTAAAGAAACAAATTTTCTTCTAAGCACACGCAGGGGGATGTAATTAGACCCAGGAGGCCTCATGACAATATGTTTATGCGAGTTCTAGGTGCAGTGTTTTTCTTTTGATTACTGAATTGTTTTGGAGCATATGCAAATGGGAATTTACTTCTGAGGGAAAACTAAACCAACCTCACTATCTTTATCAGAAATGAAAATAGTAGAATGTTCACCCTGCTGAACTTCCAAACTGAAGGCAAAAGTGATGTGAAGCACAGCCATCAAGCTGGCATGTCTAAATTGGTTGTCAAGCAAGTTTGATGGGATATTCACTCTTTCTAACTGCAATGTGGGCTCCCAGCATGTATCAAGTTAGAGGAGAGAAGAACCACTTGTTTCCTGTAGGTAGCTGGAAACTATTTTAAACCAGTTCACCTGTGTGACACTTACTTAAGGTGATTAAATACTTACCTGAGAGGACAAAAATCATCTTTCTGTATATGCCATCTAGCTGTATAACTGGGTCCACTAAGGTGCTTTCTGTGAATGGGTTTTATGTCAGAATAAACAATACCTGAAGTGTAACAGACTTTTCATATTTTTGCAAGCAGTGTTCTTGGCACATGTTTATTTCATTAAGTTCAATATTTATTAAATTGTCTGTTGCACAGAATTTAGAACACTAAACCCAGTTCTCTAGGAACAACACTCAAATCTCTGCAGTAATGCCAGCCACCAACACTCTTAGACAATTAGGGTTGAACTTATTTTTCAATAAGTAGCAAACTCTAGAAATGCTTTTCTCCTAATTAGAATTTAGTGCTGTTTCAAAAATTTCATTTGCACTCCTCAGATATAGTGATTCATTATTTTGTGATAATTATAATAAAAAAGACGGGTTTTTTAAAAAGAAGTTTTAATTACATTTAAACTGAAAAGGTGCTGCATTTCTTAATTACAGTGTCTGACTGAAGTTTTTTTAACTCGGAGCTTATTGCCAGCAATGAAGTTTGTTCCTAATAAGTTACTTTTTTACCCCTTTATGTTAATAGACCTAAACCTGTCCAAGTCACTGTGTCTTCCTCATTAAGAATGGCTGCAAGAACCATTTGCTCAAACAAAAATTACCTGAGGGGCGTTTCTGTAACCTGCAAGAACAAAATCTTAAAACAGAAAGGAAAGTAGTACTTGTGTATATAGTGTTATTCTTTCATTTCCTAATCATCATAGCTACAGAGAATGTTTAATCACTAAGAGCTTACCTTGTCCATAAACCTGGAGGAAATGTTTAAAGGAGTGCATCCCAAGCTTTATTTAACAGGCATTTTGAAATTGAAAATATAAAGAAGTGAATAGACCCCTTCTACTTTGCTGAGCAAGATTTATACTGCAACTGGTATCGACTGATGTCTTAAAAGGGCTGAGATTCATAGTATCAGAGTAAAACATTCATTCTTCATTACTGTTTTCATCTGAGGATTATGAATTTGGGTCTGCCAGGCAGGCAGGCTGTACTGTGTACATTGACCAGCTGCTTAGAAAACAGTGATCTCTCATGAAGTCGAATGCTCAGTGTATAGCTACACAAGGACATGAGCAAGTTGATTGGGACTAGTGTTTTTTATTGTGTGAACTAAAATTAAATGGTAGGAATATCCTAGAATGATCTTATTTCCTCTCTCTATCCATAAGTCAAAGGGTTTTGGCATTCCCTTAAATTCCAAATGTCTAAATATTTCAAAAATCAAACAACACCAACACAAGCTATTCCTGAGAACTTTTGAAGAGTTTTAATTTTCAACTGTTACTGAATGTTTGTGTTTGGGAATGAAAGTTTGCTCTTTTCTGTACTCTTAAGTAAATATTGCATTTGGTGCATCTTTCCAATTTATTATGGTGTTGATGTTCACTGTTCACTGTTCACCCCTGTTCACTGTGGTGAGAGTCTTGCGTGCAAATCCTTGAATGTTGCTTAACCTAAATCTACTCTCTGGAAGTGGATTTTTTGCTTGTATGGATAATTTGCAGTGCTTCACTGAGCCGAATCTACAGCATGAATTAGCTGTATGGCCAAATTGTGCCCATGGAGGGTAAATTATTAAAGCCATGGGTTACTTTTCATGTTTGTTCTACCAAGTGGAAGAAACTCTAATAAACATACACTTCTGAACTAGTCTGGTTGGGATGTTTGCAAGTGACTGGTGAAATCTTAACTTCCTAGGGTGAAGAAAGCATAAGGTTTCTGTTGGCCATCAATCCTGCTTTGCTCATGATTTAGAACAGTTGTTAACACTGAAAGGAGTCCAGCCTGGTCGCTGGAGTCACAGGGTGGCTTTGGAATAGGAAAGGGAGGGATAAAAGCATCAATATGTTTGTTTTCTGCATGGATGGACTGATTGCAGAGTAGTGAGCTAAGCAGGACGTGGGCTGTGGGCTGCTAGTGTCATATAGAGCCATCAAAAGCCTAGAAAAACAGAAGGCCTTGTGGGTGACATCTGAGGGACTTTGTTTATGAGTCATGGCTGTTAGAAGACAAATACTTAAAAAAAAATCCCGTATAGATTTTCACTTCTGTGAATTCACAGGATCATACTATTAAAAGAATTACCATGTTAAACCTGCCCATAAACCAAATAGTAAGAAACGATCATTTCAGGGCATAGAGTTCCACTATTAGAGTCTGCTTTTCCTATTCACAGACACGAATGAATGGGTGACTCAGCCCCACAATCATTTTCCCTTTGGCAGGCAGCAGGCCTTTCCATTTGTGCATGCCCTCTCTGAGCAGGGCTTCAGTGGAAAACATTCCCTGGATGGGGTTTTAATGTTGGGTTTGCTCTTAGAAACAGGTTTAGCTTAATGGAAATATTCAGGAAAACTTTGTCATTATCTCTTCTTGTGTGTTCTGTGTTCAAAGAATTGGGAAGAGGGTAAATACCGGGAACGTATGAGGACCTGTCTGCTTCCTTCATCAGTCTGTGGGAACCTAAAGGATGCTAAAATGAGCAACAGAGAAATGCAGCACTTGGCTTCTTATTCACGTTCGAATGCAAATCAGAAAGCAGTTTTCACTGCCACTCTTAAAAAAATATTGGAAAAAACATTCTTCAAAATGATAAAGAAATGGTTGGAAGGATATAATAGTATTATTACATATATTAATTTCCAGAGGAGCTATTGTGGCAGGGCCTTATTGTTTGTGGTCTCGTTGCACAAGAATATGCAAGACAGAATATTTTTTGTCCCAAACAGTTTACAATTTAGATTATGAGATGATGTGATGAGCGTATGTAACAAAGGGGTACATGATAAAAAAATAAGATGGAAAGGACTGTGACCAAAAGATGTTTTTTACATTTATGTGTTGTATAAATTGAAGCTTAAGGTGAGTTGTTAAAAGACATTAATTATGCCCATAGTCTCAGCTGGCCACTTGCCTATCCAATATGAGCTAGCAATTGGATACTGAGGAAGGATTTGAAATCAATGAATACAAAGTAGGAAAACCCATGAAATCAAATTACATGCAAAATAACCCTGAGCTAAAGTCTGTGCCCCACCCTACTGTCTCTGTTCTCTTGCTGTCCACAGACTTTTTAGGATCTTTGACGATGCAGAAGCTCTTGTATGAGCACGAGCCCTCACTTTCTGGCTCTTAATTTTGGGTTATTGATGTGACATTGCAGCAATAGTAAATGGCACAGGAATGTGTGTGTTTCTTCCATATGTTGACAAGAAGGATGCTTTGGTGTCCGACAACGCCTTCGGTCATGCTATTGCTCTTCTTGGTGTCCAGAAAGCTCTACCCCTTCCCCTACCTGAGACTTCTCAAGAAAGAATAGTCCAGAGTTTGTTCTATTGTTGTCCAAGTCTTTCATTCAGCTTTGTAATATTTCTGTCAACTTATGAAAGACCTTTTTATTAGCCTATATGGTTCATTTTCCAAAGAAACACTTCTACGGTGAAAGCATTTTGACATGCAGCAGCTCTGCTCCCATGTCCAACATAATTGGCCCATGTAGAAGCTTTAAGGACTGCTCCAAAAGAAATGCTTTAGAAGCAGTTTTCTCTTTGCAGACCTTTCAGCTGTACCTTGCTCAAGGAAAAAATGTCCACAGTAGCTGGCAAGTCTAATTTGATATGAGAAAAAATACATTGGCTTTGAGTGACACTGGGCTAACACACATCATGAGATGACATTTCTAATTTGTCATTTCAGCTATGTTAGCTCTTAGGTGTCAGCTCATAATTATTTATAAAGATTATTTTAATCTATTGGGTTTTGGTGCACTAAATTACATTTATGAGTGATTGCAAGGGCATCTAGAGCCTGGATTTCTTCACTTGTTTCAGTCCAAATAGAAATAAGTAAACGTTATGCACACAAACTAGTCAGGATACCTTCTGCTTTGAAAGGTCTTCTGTTAGAAAGTAGCTCTGTAATTCAGGTGAAAAGTACTGGAGCTACTTGCAATCTCTCAATCCCAGCTCTAATTCTCATAGCATAGAATGGCAATAACAAGCTTGATACATTGCCTGTTCTGTATATTGTTTATTCTGATGGGCAAATCTTAAATTTTCATTGCTATTACTGCTGCTTTGTACTCCCTGAGCATTTTGAATTGAAATGAGTTTTTGCTATCTAATGAAGCTAAGAGAATGAGTTCTATAGCTTCCTAATCCATACTTCATCCCTGACAGCTGTAACTGGTCATATACTTAGGAAAGGAAGAAAACAA